TGGCCTTGTTTTAATCAAATAGGTGCTAAGCATGACAAAACAAGCAAAAACAAAAAAAAAAAAACCCTTTCTTTAGACTACTGTTAGGTTTTGAAGCAGTTTTCTAAAGGCGTTAGTAGTATTAACAAGAGAAACAACCATTATAGGTTCTTTAGAGGCACCAGTTACAGTCATGACTAATGAGTAATTCTTCTTATTCTTTTTTTTTTTTTTAAACTATAAAGCAAACATTTCAAATCTACAATACATGCCACTTAGGAATTTATATCTGAAAGATTTGTTAAAATGTTAAGGGATTTGGGGCAATACTGGTCTTTTCCTCACCACCAGCATCTCAGATAGTAGAGTTGTGCTCCAGTTATATCTATCAATCCTCGAAATCAAAGCTGAATAGATTTTAATTTATATGTTAGTGAATGTTTTCAATGTCTATACAGGATGTTTTATAGATTGAGTTTCAAAGATTTTAAGCCATGTTACTTCCAGTTTAAAGATTAAAATCTGTTCAGCTTTAGTTTTAGAAGTGGATGTTTTTAGAGCACAACTTTGTTGCCAACCTACTGCTGAAGAATGATACGCAAAGTGTTTTATAACCATGAAGGCATAGAACATTTGACAAAGTTTAAGGAGATTGCTGATAAAGAAAACTGCATAGGATGTTACCATAAAGAATAATTCAAAAGTCTGTGTAAATTTTAATTACTCAGAATATTTATATTTTCCTGAGATGCTTGAGATAATTTAGATCATAAGACAGATTTGATTTTTAACTGTCTTTAGGTGGGCCATTTGAAGAGAAAGTCTGATGTTTAATTCTATTTAGCCAAGCTCAAAAGGAGTGTATTTATGCTTATTGGTGCCACCAGGCCATGAACTACCACTAGGCTGTAAAGTCTAGAGCAATTGAATGTAGGTGAGTCTTGAGGATTTGCTGTAGTAGAATCACTGCTAAGGCTTTACCCCACTTTCAGTTCTTAGTTCTGTATTTTCTCACTGTCTGGTGGGTGGGTGTCAGGATCTAAGGTTTCCAGGCCACTGAGGACTATTGCAAGGCCTGTGCCATACCAAGACATTCTTCACTGGGTTAATTCACTGGAGAATTATGAATTCAATCAAAAAACACTGTGTGCCTGCTATTTGCTAGGTAGTCATCTAGATGCTGGAGATACAACTATAAATAAAATAGTCTTTTCCTCTTAGAATTTATATTATTGTTGGGGAAGATAGACAAATATCTGGAACTAACCCTATTTCTACGTTTTGCAAGTATAGCTCTTATGGGGGAACTGAGGGCAAGAAAGGATCCTTTAAGTCACTCTGATTTTTTCAATACTTTAATACAATATTGGGTCATAGGGTAATAGTTTGGGTGAAGGTAGATGATATATCCTAAAACTTGTGGTAATTTTTGGTATTGCTATTACACTTTGGACTAAGTTTAGTTGGGTTTAAACTTTTTCTTATTTATTTCTTGAGTATGTAAGACACTTATATGATACAGAAGTCAAAACTATGTAAACAAGTATCAGGGAAGTCTTGCTTTTATCTGTAAACCCTTCAGCTTGCTCTCACCCCCATAGGTAATCATTTTTATGAGTTTCTGGCTTAACCTTCCAGTGTTTCATTTAAACTGCATGAAGTCTTAGGGGGAGGAGAGGAAGACAGAAGGGGGGTGGGGACTAAAGGGAGGAGGTGAGTGGTGGGAATGGAGAAGAGCTCCACTTACATAGTGCTTGTGAATGTTGTCTTACTGGTGGTCTTTTTGTCCTACTTACCCACCTCCTAACTCTGAAAAAGGCAATAGCTTAAAAAAAAAAACACTTTATTTTGGACTAATTTTAAATTTATAGAAAAGTTGCAAAAATAATACAGAGAATTGCCTTCATTCAGTTTCCCTTAATGTTAACATTAGGGGAATAATAAGCAGCTTTATGATAAAATTGGAATGAATGTCATTAAAGAGGAAGCCAAGACAAAGGGCATAAGAGGGTTCATGTGTACATTTACTACCTTTTCACCAAGATGACATCAATATTTTACTCATAAATGGTTAATTTTCTTTGTCCTAGTTACTGGGAGCATCTTGTAGTTTAATCATGGTGTAATAAGAATACTTACCTACTGCTTTTGAAATAAATAAAATAAGGGAAAAGGTAAAAAGTTGTACAACCCAAAGTCAGTGCTTTATAGTTGGTTAATTTGTGGAAGAGTTTTTGTTGTTGTTGTTGTAAATCTTCTTATAAAATGCTGCGATGGAGTCAGTTCTGTTTTATCTGTGTGAGTGGAGGGAAGCTTGGAAACAATACTGATACCTTGGGTGAATGTTTCTAGACTCCATTACTGATTTTAGAATCTAGAGCTTCGAGTCAGAAGGTGTCTTGAAGCTGGTTTTGCCAACTTCCTAGATAGTAGAAAGATCTCTTCACCAATATCTATGTATCCACTGTAGATTCAGTCTCTGTCCAAGCCTTGCACATTGCTTTGTAAAGCAGTCTGTTCCGTTATTATTATTTTGTCATAAAATTATTCTCTTGAGTTGAAGGATAGATCATTGCTTGCTCTGTCCCCTATAGCAATAGGGGAGTGTAAAAACCAAGTTGTATCAGTTATAATTATAAATACACACACACGCACATGTGTGTGTGTGTATGTGTGTGCATGTGTGTGTGTGTGTGTGTGTATATATATATATATATATATATATATATATATACAAACGTATTTACGTATATATATATATATATATATACACACATATATAGGAGATAGTGTATCGTATATACCTATGTATATAGGTATAACCCCTTTGCTTTCCTCTGCCTTCTTTCTTTCCTTCTTTTGAGATATCCTGCTCATTTATTATTTACTGTTTATATTTGGTTTTGTAGGAATGTTGGGATAAAGAGATGAATCACAATAATGAGTAAAACCTAACCTCATGGGGTTGTTATGAGGGTTAAATAAGATCATATGTATGAAGTGTTTAGCACAGTGCATGGCACATGGTAAGCATTTAATAAGTGCTGATAGTGTAGTGATGGTAATTGTCTCTGTCATCAAGTCTTTTCCTCCTAGATTAATAGGGAAGATAACTAACCAATGACTTTTAAGACTAGATTGAATGATATAAGTGCTCTAGGAGAGAAGAAGCAAAGTTCTTATTTATTCAAATAAAGGAGCAACTAATTTCAGTTAGAGACTCAGGAAGGAGGAATCTTTTCTCCTAAACTTTGAAGTAGAAATGGGATCTCCTTTAAGAAAATGGATTTTAGATTGACGGGGCTAGAATTAACAAAAGCCTGGAGCTAGGAACGTGTATTATCTTTTTCATGGGATCTTAAGCATTCATGTGTGACTGAGGGGTTGGCTATGTGGAAGATCTAGTCTAAAATAAGGATAGGATGTGGAGAGGTCAGATTGTATAGGGCTTTGAAAGCAATATGGAAAGTTTGTACTTCATTCTAGAGACTTTGGGTAATATTTTCAGGTCTTCGAACAGAAGATCAAGATCGCAGTCTTACAGCAAAATAGATGTGGTTATTGTATATAGGTAATTAGTGGTTCCTGTTAATTTAAAATCTTGAGTGAGAGGGCTAATAAAAAATATATAGGAGGAGATAGTTGCTGTAATCCAGGGTATGAAATGGAAACCATTGGCAGATTGTAGAAAAATGAGTCTTTTAGAGTAAGCCCTAGGAAATTTTCATAAATATATTTGGGGCTTTTCATACTTAGAGGATTAAACCAATTTATTAGACAATAACCTTCCCTAGTAAAGAATCTTAATCGCTAGATTGGGAGAAAAGATTAGGTTGGTATGTGCATGGAAAGAAAGAACTGCACTTTTCTGGCTGGCTGCACATGTAATTGAAGATGGTCTTACCTTAGTAGATTGGGCTGTCTTTCAGCCTGAAGGGAGAGCTGTAAGCATTTTTTAAAACTGAGCACTTGGGGCGCCTGGGTAGCTCAGTCGGTTAAGTGTCTGACAGCTCAGGTCATGATCTCACGGTTTGTGAGTTCGAGCCCCGCATCGGACTCTCTGCTAGCAGCTCAGAGCCTGGTGCCTGCTTCAGATTCTGTGTCTCCCCCTTTCTCTGCCCCTCCTTTGCTCATGCTCTGTGTCTCTCTGTCTCTCAATAATAAATAAATGTTAAAAAAAAAAGTTAAAAAACAAAACTGAGCACTTGATTTCTGTTTTTAAGTCTGAAAATAATTATCTGACAGAGGGAACTAGCCTTTGGGAATGAATCTGATGGGCACAGACTTGAGCATTGCCAACATCTTCTCTTTTTGGTATGCTATTACTTGGCTGTCTGTTAACTTCCAGTTTTGTTGATTTCTACCGTTGCTTATGGAGCATTTGCCTTTTCAACACTTGGGGCTCCAAATGATTTGTGCATCTTAGTTGGAGAAGTTGTTGGGCAGGAGGCCTGATCAGGAAAGAGACTGGGTGGCTGTTGGTCAGGTGAGGATTTAATTTCAGCTCACAACAGTTGGGTTATTGGCTGGCTGGAGTGACCAGTGAGTTGTGTTTTGGCTAAGCATCTTTTCCTGGTCGTACAGATGATCTGGCATCTAGACTGAACAAGCAGCTGGGGTATATGTATGTAAAAACTGCTTGTCTGTTGGTATGAGACGGACTTGCATGTCTCCGGTATCCTTCCGAAGGGAAGAAAACAAATTACTACTTGGTTTATGTTCCAGGAAATACTAATGCTCTTTACAGGTAAATAGCACTTATATAACATTTATGCTTTTTGAAAATATTTTATATCTGTTGTCATTTCATGCTCACAACAACCCCATAAAGGAGATGGGGCAGGTATAATTCCTATTTGACAGAGTGGATACTAAATCATAAATAAGAGACTGGGTTAAGGTTGCTGGGTTAACAAATAAATGGGATAGCTTAACTGTATTTCATTTTTGGATTGTAACTTTCAGAAAGTTTTATGAGGAAAAAGCTGAACATGTCCCTCTTTTTTGTTGTTAATTTTTAGCGGCGTCTTAGACACCTTCGGAACATTGCTGCCCGGAATATTGTTAATAGAAATGGCCATCAGCTCCTTGACACCTACTTCACACTTCACTTGTGTAATACCGAAAAGATATACAAAGGTAAGAGAATCTGTGGACTTGCCTACAGATTGTTACATCTCATTTTTATTCTTTCGTAATACAAGTGAGTAACAGTGCCCTCGCTTTGCTGTTATTGCTTATTGGGAAGCAAAATTGTCATACTGTCTGAAAATATTTAATGAGCAGTAGTTACATATATATAAAAGAAACAGGGCTTTTGGATAGTTCTTAAATTGATAAATTTATCATTTATTTAAGCATGTTAGCTATTACTGTTTTTATTCTAGTTGGTATCATTAAAATATACTATATGAGTCCAGCATACAATACTAATTTTGTTTTCTTTAAAATATAATTGTTGAAATATTATGGTAAAATTAGGACCAGTTTATGTCTTCTCATATCGGTAATTCCTTGTGTATATATGGCGTCATTCTTAGAAGAATGCCATGGTTTCCTTGAATTCATTTGTACCTATTGTACTGTGGACTGCTCCATAAGTGACAATTCTGAGAGTAGACCAAATATTTGATTCAAAATCACAAGCACCTTTTGAATACATATTGGGCGAAAGGTACTTGGATATAATCCATTGACCTATGTTGGATGGTAGAAGAGAACAAGCATGGTGTATGACAGGAATATTGGATTAGGATTGCAAATACATGCATAGTAGGTCTAGCTCAGCCATTGACTAGCTGTGTGACATTGGACAAAGATCATGTCTTTTTGAACCGCACTTTTCCCATTTGTAAAGTGGAGATGATGCCTTATGAAATTGGCAAGACAGATATTTGTGAGGAACAACTGAGATAAGGTGATAACACTTGGTAAGATGTGATTGAAGGTCTATTTATATTAACAAAAAGTGGCGTTATTTTAATTAGAGGTACTAAAGGCTTATTTGAATTTTGTCCTCTGGCAAAGAAAGATGAAAAATTCAAACAATGTCTTATCTTTTTGGTTTTAATTACTTTTAAAAACCATTATTAAAACAGTAGTCATTTAACACCTTTTTTTGTTTTTTTTAAAATTTCAATACCAGTATATGCTCATTAGGAGATTCAGTCAGGAATTATATAGGGTAGCACAACGCAAATAGCGTTAAAATAATTTTTAAGGGTGAGAAAAAAAGACTCTAAATTCTGCCATTGTCATATAATTTTTCATTCTTACTTTTCATTGTAAATATTGCATTTCTTTTTTTTTTTTTTTTTTTTTTTTTTTTTTTTAATTTTTTTTTCAACGTTTTTTATTTATTTTTGGGACAGAGAGAGACAGAGCATGAATGGGGTAGGGGCAGAGAGAGAGGGAGACACAGAATCGGAAACAGGCTCCAGGCTCCGAGCCATCAGCCCAGAGCCCGACGCGGGGCTCGAACTCACGGACCGCGAGATCGTGACCTGGCTGAAGTCGGACGCTTAACCGACTGCGCCACCCAGGCGCCCCAAATATTGCATTTCTAAAAAACAGTTATATTAATCTGAATGAGTAATGCTAGCTACAATAACAAATACCACAAATCTCAGTGGCATAACATAATACATTTCTTACACTAAGTCTAATGCAGGTGTTCTTTATCAGGCAGGGTATTGGCAGTTGTCCTCTAAGTGGTGACTCAGGTATCCAGGCTTCTTCTGTTTTGGAATGCTGCTATCATCAATACATGACTTGGGGCATGGCAAGAGAGGAGGATCATTTGAGGGAGATTTTTATAACAGAAATGGCCCCCATAAATTCCATCACATTCCATTGGTCATAAATCAGTAGTGTAGTCCTTTTTAGATGAAGAAAGGACTGGGATATGTTGTCTTCCTATGTGTCCAGAAGGAAAAGGGAACAGTTTGGTTATTATTTGTCCTAGGGGTATAAGCATTTATTCAGACCTTAATACATTTGGTCTCCTGCTCACTAATTGGTTTTATCATTAGCAATATATGACAGTGCCAGAGCGTTTGAAATTTTTTATATGTTTCTTTATAATTAGTCCTTGATTATCTTCATAAAATTTATATGTTCTTGGTCCAGTGTTCTCTTTGATAATAGTAATTCACATAGTACTTAGCACATTTTAGGTATTTGGTGATTTGTAATGTTAACAATTGTAGTAGTTTTTTTTTTTTTTT